AAAAAAAAAACAATATTTCACGTGTGGTGGGAGTGGAGGGCAGGGTAAAATAATTTGTTCTGAATGTGGGTTATGAATCTGATTAAATAGGACTTTAAAAAAATATTAATATTTTTATTTAATATGATGTAATTTGTGGGTGAGGTTAGCTTGTAGCTTGGCTTTCAGATTAGTAATCTTCTGATTACTAATAGAAGACTTTGCCTTACAAGAAATTTTTGTTTTCAGGAAAGAGCACTAATTCCCAAAGCGGAATACTCGCAAGTAGTTTCTGCTATCAATCATCACTTTGAGTTGCCTCCAACGTTCGAGAGGTGTAGTTCGCAGAGACTAAAATTGGTATCTTTCAGTTGTCAAAATAAAGTGAGTCAAACTATGGGCTGACATCTCTCTGGGCTCAGTTACAAAGAAAATCTATGATTTAGCTATGTGGACTACAAGGAAATCTGAGAAATAAAGATACTCTTCAGCTTTTCAAATAAAGTGGTTTTTTTTGCTGATAAAGGCTGAGACTCGATGACGTAACTCCCCAAATCTAAGGTTCCTTAAATCACCTCAAACTCACGTGCGTCACGTGTGTTGAGTAACTTCAAGCAAAGACTTTAATTTATTGCCTCTGTTACCTCACTTGTGTAAATCAGTGGAGACAGGCTCTGTCCTCTCAGGATTTGTAGATATGGTCACACCCTTCCTTCTGCTCTTCTCCTTCTAGTCTTCTCCGTATCTGCTTTTTCACTCCTTCACTCCCAGTTGTGCCGTTAGAGGGCAAAAAACTCTCGCTGACATGAATAGTCAGCAGATTCTGTGCAGAGATCCATGATTACCCATTGGGATAACTGCAGCCAAGATTAATTCCGGCCTTGAAAAGCCAAGAGATTTTTATAATCTGAGCACTGACTGGTGTGACTCATTCGGAGCAGTTAACACTCCGACACAAACCTCAGGGTCTATCCAATTTAGAAACCCATTGGCTTTTCTTCTGATTTGTCTCTGGAAGTAATGGCCAGTTGAAGCCACAATATCTAGATAGTGGATAATGGTATTCAAGACTTCCTAACAGTGCAATTTCAAAAGCTCGTCAGATGATGGACGATGGTTTTCAGACTGCTTAAAGGTGATTGGTCAGTATTTCTTGTAGATTGAAACAGGAAATCAGAAAAATCTGATTTCTGATTTTTCCTCTATGTGCAAATTTATATGGAGGAGTATTTATAGGGTTAAGCCTCCCCTTCTATACCTTGACACATACTAGAAGCCTCCTGTTGAAGAATTTGGCAAGTGAGCCAATAAATCCTCTTTTCTGACTTTAATCTCTTGGATTTTTATCACCATTTGTCATCTTCAGAAGCCGCTAATATTCACCACCATTATCATTAAATAACTTGTTGA